GTCGTAGGGGGCTTTTTAGCGTCCGCATCGATCGGCGTTTTCGGCTTGTCGGCGCAGTTCCTTGACGTCGCGTCTCTTCGAAGGGAATGTCGTCGAAGTGCTTGCGTCGCACAGCGGTCGTAGGTTTTTTTTTTGCCGTCCGCATCGGCGTTTTCGGCTTGGCGGCGCAGTTCCTTGACGTCGCGTCTCTTCGAAGGGAATGTCGTCGAAGTGCTCGCGTCACCCAGCGGTCTTAGGGGGCTTTTTGGCGTCCGCATCGGCGTTTTTGGCTTGACGGCGCAGTTCCTTGACGTCGCGTCTCTTCGAATTGAATGTCGTCGAAGCGCTCGCGCCACCCAGCGGTCGTAGGGCGCTTTTTGGCGTCCGCATCGGCGTTTTCGGCTTGTCGGCGCAGTTCCTTGACGTCGCGTCTCGTCGAAGGGAATGTCGTCGAAGTGTTCGCGTCACCCAGCGGTCGTAGGGGGCTTTTTGGCGTCCGCATCGGCGTTTTCGGCTTGTCGGCGCAGTTCCTTGACGTCGCGTCTCTTCGAAGGGAATGTCGTCGAAGTGCTCGCGTCACCCAGCGGTCGTAGGGGGCTTTTTGGCGTCCGCATCGGCGTTTTCGGCTTGTCGGCACAGTTCCTTGACGTCGCGTCTCTTCGAAGGGAATGTCGTCGAAGTGCTCGCGTCACCCAGCGGTCGTAGGGGGCTTTTCGACGTCCGCATCGGCGTTTTCGGCTTGTCGGCGCAGTTCCTTGACGTCGCGTCTCTTCGAAGGGAATGTCGTCGAACTGCTCGCGTCGCCCAGCGGTCCTAGGTGCTTTTTGCCGTCCGCATCGGTGTTTTCGGCTTGTCGGCGCAGTTCCTTGACGTCACTCTCTTCGAAGGGAATGTCGTCGAAGTGCTCGCGTCGCCCAGCGGTCGTAGGGGGCTTTTTGGCGTCCGCATCGGCGTTTTTGGCTTGTCGGCGCAGTTCCTTGGCGTCGCGTCTCTTCGAAGGGAATGTTGTCGAAGTGCTCGCGTCACCCAGCGGTCGTAGGGGGCTTTTTGCCGTCCGCATCGGCGTTTTCGGCTTGGCGGCGCAGTTCCTTCCCAGACAACACCAAACGTCCCTCGGACGTCCTAAAAACGTGCGAACGTCCCATGTCCTATTGCTGACGTCCTGCGGACGTCCCACGGATGTCCGGGGCGGCATAATCCGGAACACGTCTCAGCGCGACTGTGATCGGGACACGCATTTTTTTTTTGACGATTACAGCAGCGGCTTTACGCACTGTCACCGCACAAGATCGTGGCTCGTATTGCAATCGTCGCTTTTGGTTTAGCCGTTAGAAGAATCAGTTTCAAGTTATTTTGGGTTTTGATCATCCGCGCTTGCCGTACAGTCGGCGTACGCGCCCCTACAAATTGCACCGCCCTTTCTCCGCAATAAATGTGCCGGCGTGCAACCACGGCGAACGGAGGGAGCCAAAAACAGAAAAAGCGACCTATCGTATTTCTTGAGTCTTGTCGCCAACAGAATCACTCGCGTTTTTCGCAGACACACCAAGAGCAAGAGCGATAGTAAAAAGCCTAAAGGCAGCTCTTTTAAATTCTCAGGCACACAAGAACAAAAATTATGTTAAAAAATGAACCGCTTTAAATACATTCGAAAGCGGAACTATGGCGAAACCGAAACGGTCCTAAAACTCGGTTAGTTTCTATTTTTAATTTCACATTAATCATTTTTTATGCTATATACTTATATATTTTTACAAATTATTTTTTAATAAAACATTGATAATTACATTAGTGAAATTAAGTAATTCAGGCAGAGCTTTCAATCGCCACCGCTGTGCAATCATCATCATCATTAATAGCGTGCGCGCGGGAAAGCTGCAGTCCTACTGCCGACTACAGCCCGGAGTGCTGCCGTGCTGCCGTGCTGCCGTGCTACCGTGCTACCGTGCTACTGCGCTAACCTGACAACTCACTAGCCACCATGGCTGGAGGAAGTAAGTATGATTTAATGTTTTGTTTGGAGCGACAGTCGGGATTTTTACCAAACCGGTCCCCTGATCCGCCACAGCGGTATTGAGGCTCGCGCGCCCCCTTTGAAGCAGCGCGCGGCCAGAGGGCTACCGCGCTCGCAATAGTCAACAGTAACGCTTTGCTAATACTCCGTATTAAGTGGCATGACTTTAGGCCGAGTAATGAAAGTGTTACAACATTTCCATCGTTCGCAGAGCTTGGCTGTTGCAAGACAAGGCGAACCACTCGAAGATCGTAGATATGGACAATATGGCTGCTCTACCCAGAACAACAGCTTATCGGCGCGTTCGTCGTGCGGCGGAAAGCGATCTCAAACTTATACTGTCAGTTAGTAGAGAAAATGCAATGTGCTCAGCTGAAGCTTTGGATGAGGCTTCTGTAGAAAGGCCCGCTGGGTCGCCGGAACTAGTTGCAGGAGCGCCGCAAAAACACGCGGGATCGCCGGAACTAATTGCAGAACCATCACGTCTCTCGTATCAGCAAGATGTCCTGACAACGTGCCGTTTTTCTGAGACTGTGCCTGATACTCCGGAACCGGTCTTCGGTGCAAGCGCCATTCACTCGAGACGAGGCGTCCCTGTAGATTCGGAAGGCTTGCCTTACAGTCGTGAACACCATTTAGAAAGAGACAATCGAAGGAATGTCGAGTGTGATGAATTGTCTGAATCAGAGGAATCCGACGTTTCACGTTTCAAGGAAAAGCTGCGGCGGTGGAGCGTGGAGGGGGCTGTTCCTCATGATACCGTTACAAAGCTCCTGAAGATACTGCACTCGCATTCTTGTTTCTCAGACCTCCCAACATGTGCCAGGGCACTTTTGTCTACACCAAGAGTCACTGATAATGTGAGGCCTATGGATTCCGGCCATTACTGCCATTTAGGCTTGAGTGAGGGGCTCAGGGCAGCGCTGCAACCTGTGCGCAATATACCGGATCCAATAATCCTTCATGTGAATGTAGATGGACTACCATTGACGAAAAGCACGCGGGATCAGTTCTGGCCCATTCTCTGCCAAGCTGCTAACTGTGCAGGCAGTGACCCATTTCCAGTTGGTGTCTATCATGGCCGGTGTAAGGCTCTTCAGTCAAATGTCTTCCTTAGTCCGTTTGTGTCTGACCTGAAAGGTGTTCTCTCTGAAGGTGTTGCTATTGGCAACAGGGTCTTCCGAGTGCAAGTTGGAGCAATAATCTGCGACGCGCCTGCCAAGTCATACATTCTTGGCACCAAAGGGCACAGCGGCCACTTCAGTTGCTCAAAGTGCACGACTGAAGGAGAATTTGTGCGGGGACGAATGTGCTTCCCTGATCTTGATGCTCCATTAGGAACAAATGCTAGCTTTAGGCGTGCAGAGCAAGAGGACCACCACATCATGGAAAATATCTTAAAAGAACTTCCCATAGATATTGTTGACCAGGTGCCACTTGACTATATGCACCTCATCTGTCTGGGTGTTGTGCGCAAACTTGTACTCCTTTGGCTGAAAGGTGATAAAACCTACCGCATTGGAAGTGCATCAAGAGATTCTGTGTCGGGAGCTAACATTGAAATGAGGCACTATGTACCATCAGACATGTCTCGGAAGCCACGCAGCTTGTCCGACATTGATAGGTGGAAAGCGTCAGAATTTCGCTTGCTTGTACTTTACACGGGGCCAGCGGTGCTGAGGTCAAGGATCCCCAAGCCTCTGATGGACAACTTCATGACACTTAACTGTGCAGTCACCATACTTTGCAGCCCATTACTCTGTAGAGAGCACTTAGGGTATGTAGAAAGGCTCTTAAGGCATTTTGTTGAGACCTACATAACACTATATGGTAGACATGCAGTCTCTCACAATGTTCATGGCTTGATTCATGTGGCAAGCGACGTAAGAGTTCATGGACCTCTTCACAACTATAGTGCTTTCCCATTCGAAAATTACATGCGTAAACTCAAAAGCTATGTACGCAAACCAGAAAGGCCCTTGCAGCAAGTCTACAATCGAATCGTAGAAGAACGATTTTTGGTTGCATCTCCTGCTGTCAACACTGGAGAGTCGGCAGCGTCGACTCCACCCGTCTCCTCTGTATTCCTTGGAGGAGAAAGTTTCAAGCTGACAGCAAGGCATGAAGGTCGACCATTGCCGCTCGGATGCATTGGACCTCAGTACAAGACAGTGACGTTTCCTGCTGGCATCACTATCAAAACAAACAAAAAAGACTGCACTTGCATGTTAAAAGACAAGAGTATCATCAAGGTTGAAAACATTGCACGCATTGCAGTGAACTATCAACCAGTGTTGGTTGGAAGGAGGTACCAGAGTCTAGAAGACCTTTACAGCTATCCCTGCAGTTCATCATTGCTGAACATCTTCCTTGCATCTGAACTGTCTGACATTCACTTCTGACCACTTTCAGAAATTGCAGTGAAATGTGTGAGACTCCCATTGGCAAACACATTTGCCGTTATTCCAATGGTGCACCTACAGTGAAACTTTTTTATGGCTGCTTGTTTATTAATAATCTAGTTTATGATATTGTTTGTAGATGAACTGGACAAGCTAGTTCGGTTTTAGTATGCTGCATTAAAGAGGGAAAAATAACTCGGTGGACATGCAAATGCTTGCCTTTCCTGCTTCGCTCAGGTGACAAGTTTGCTATTGTAGCATTTCCTGAAGAAGATCACAGCTTGGCCATTATTCACAAAACATGGCTCGTTGAAAACACTTAAACGACATTTTGGCCTAAGGAAAAAAATCCTAACAAGCGTCGTCGAATGACAATCGAAGGCGTCAAACCACAAGACAGTTGGATGCAGGTCAAATGCCTGATCAAGGACTGGGCTGGTAAGTGCTTTTTTGCTCTAAATTCTTTCCAGTTCTCAATGCGTAAATTTCTTTCAGACACATATGAGAAGGCGCTGGAGAAACTTCAGCCTCTGGAGTGTACGTCAGACTTCACTAGTGAAGAAGAGCTAGGTCGTGGCCAGCGAAAACGCCGTCCGACTTTTCCTTTTGACTATGATGACAGCACCGACACTACAGGTTCCGACGATGAATATGAACCACCAAAACCACCCACGCCACCCCAGCCACGGAAGAAAACAGGTATGGCATCGTGCATTGTTGGCGATGCTCTATTGTGGTTGAAAAAAATAATTCTTTGAAAACATCTAGTGTAACTTCAAACGGCTTACTACCAACTATTCCTCCTTTTCCAGGTGCCAACTTCTCTAAGTCACCTCTGCATCACTCTGGTGTGTATACCTTATGTCTCTTCAGTGCATGTTCTGGTACATGGATTGAGTAAGTGTGACTAATTCCTCTGCAGCCCTGTACGAAACAGTCACGTCCCAAGCCACATCCCAAGCACATGCCCAGTATTCACGCATGCAGCCACAGTACATAGGTAACTGCTTGTGCACAAGGTGAGTGTTCTGTATATAATTTAATTTTGATTCCAGGTCTCGACAATGTCCCGCTTGTACACGCATCCCACACGAACGGGATGATGTCCCGCCCGAGCATCCAGCCTACAGGTAGATCTTGCAGCTAAAGTTATGTTTTATGGATTCGACTACTTTCTTTCTCACATGTTCTTGAATTTCCTGTTAACATTCAGCATTTTGTAGAGAATCTGTTTTCAATTTGAGGTGATGACTTGGGTCCACCAGTGCACACACCATATGCGAACATTTTGCCCAACTCTTTTGGTTTCAGGTGTCCACAGCGTCCCCCAGTGCTCTCTATACAGGAGCAGGACACCTCACTCAAACATCCGGCCTGCAGGTATATCTTGCAGCTTAAGTGGCATTCGACAGATTTGACTCATTTTTTTCTCACCTTTTTAAATATTTTTATAGCATTCAGCATTTTGTACAAAATTGCTTGTCAATTTCAGGTGCCAATGATGTCCCTCTAGCGGCGGCAACACTGTGGCAGCAACACCACGGTGAGTTTTATTTTGTGAATGATAAAGTTTTCATATCCTTCGAGATAACATCGAAGCTGAGAACTGTTATGTACTGACTGACAGACTGGCGCTTATCAGCTCGTGGCCACTCGAGGAGCGTGGGCACTGAGCGCTCGAGGCTCGGGGAGCGCGGGCTGACGAACGCCGGGCTCCGAATTGATTAAACCGATTTGACCAGTGGTCTCCTGTGAACCGACTCGATGTAACAAGAACAGCATTTTATAAAATTTCAGATGCACCTGTAACCCCTATGAACATGTCTCAGCCTGGCACTGGACGGGTAAACACGGATGCACAGGTGCCTGGTATGTAATATCTATTTAGATCTTCAATCGGAAACAAATTTTGCGATAGTGGTTTCTGGGCTTCTACTTCTTATGCTATGTGCATGACAAAGACGATTCGGAAAAGGTATTGTGTCTAGAAACGTTTTTTTCTAATGAATGTGAGTTGTCGTGAGGGGCATGGCTTTCCTAAAACATACAATATATGTCAGGAAGCAGTATTTATCTTAGCGTTTTTATTTAAAGAGGCACTAAGGTGGTTTCTGAATAAGATTGTTCTTGATGTTATTTTATAGGTGCCAGTTAATAAATATATCCAGTGCCAAATTACGAAACTGCCTATGTATCTCGAGGCAACAGAAATACATGCATACTATACACACTAGAGCAATGAAAACACTTGAATGTCTGGAGATTTTGACTGTTTGTACTATTATAGTTTGTTTTGAAAAGAAGTCCGATCCACACGTTCAGAAATCACGCCACTCGTTGGCTGCACGAAAAGCCATCGCTAGCAATTGGCTGACAAGCGACCCTTGTTGGCTGCCTCACAATAATATTCATCTCAGAGAAGGGGGCGTGTAACAATCTTTAATCGCGTTTTTAGTAGGAGAATGGGCCACGCCTGATTGTGTAATTTCGGGTTTTCAGAACGCTTGGAGCACTTAGATTGAGTTATTGTCACTAAAGAACTCTCAGAAACTGCTTTCGTACTCCTTTAACTTTGCTATATCACGGAGAGTTACTATTTCATGTTATGTCAACAGTTCTGCAATGAGGATGCTACTGTGGCTGCAAGATGGAGCGCTGTTCTGTCCATTTCAGTGTTTATGAAAAGGATCCTGTTGGCACTGAATTCCATCAAGGTGACACAGCAGACCCACTCCGAGTACTTTAGCTTGCTGCTCAGAAACACCGAAGATGCCCCACTTGATCCAGAGGGCCTGCCGGACTTGCCTTTTTCTACAGAACAGGACTTTGTGCACTTCGACAAAGAGCTGGAGGTCGACAAGAGAGCAAGGCTTCGTATGGTAAATTATGGTTATTCTAAACTAAGCTCTGTATTTTGCATCTATGCATGATTGAACTTTTTTTTTGTTATGAGCAACTGTATTTTTGGAACTCCACCTTGTAAATATTCAGGTGATAAAGGTTTGCTTACCAGGTGCCAGAGTTCAGTTACAAGCATAGCTTATATTAGAACCTCATTAGATGCATGAACACAATTTCGTGTTAGTAATCACATTTCATGACTGAATTCCTGAACAGGTACTTCAGTGTAGTCAATAAAATCTTATTTTTTAAGTTTAGATGTATACCTAACTTTAATTTGCATCATGTGTATATGTCGGTCACTCTTACAGTACCGAGAAAGCGAGTCAAAATTGGGCGGAAATGATCACATAGTGCCCATACTTCTAAGCATGCGGTTTTGTTTCTAAGATTTATGTGCATCCGTAGGGAAGATGTTCCTGCTATGCCATCAAAATCGATATCTCAACATAGCTATTAGAACTACGGCACATTTTGAAAATTTTTCAGAGTTTAAACAATGTGAATGCTTTATGTGCCAGTGGTGATAGAACGCTTAAGAACCACTATGCTTATGAAACCACACTAAGATTGTGATATGCTTAAAATACTAAAGTAGTTTAATGTTAGCCCATATTTCTGATCTGATTGCTGTTTTGATTCTTTTTTGCCATAGACAACACATGTTAGTTCAAGGAGGTGATACACCTAAAGAACGGACCACCCGAATTTTGAGAAGTATACTATCTTCAAGTGTCGCAGCCGAGTACAGCTGGTGTGGCGCCAAGGGAAAACACAAGTTTTCTGATCTCAACATCTGCAAGATCCTGTGTAGTAAGTTAGATATCTGAACCTGCACAAGTGATATTCTTAGTATGTACTGAAGTCTAATATAAAAGAATAGTGCAAAACCTTTTTGGAAAATTAGGTATATAACTTGATATAAGAGTGTAACAAATGAAATAATTAGAGCATATTTTCCAGTGTGTAAGTCATTTTTTTTCCAGTGTTACATTGATGTTCTTATACAGCAGAGCAGTTTATAACAGGCACCTGCACTTGTCCCGCCACCAACCACCGAAGAAAAAGAGACATGTTCTTATTTCTTTAAAATGGTACACAGTAACGGTCCTAGATCCACGAGACGTAGCCTTCAGGTACCGTGGATCGGCTTTTCCACATAATCAATGCCCGGGAATGTGATGGCTACCTGTAGAAGGGTTTTGTATCATTTCATAGATGCACGTTTCACTGACAACTTTTTATTGACACACATTTCATTGACACTGCTTACACAAAGCACATGCCGCTGCATCATCTAGCTGTTCTGGCTACTTTGAGCACCAGTTTTTATTTAGAAGTAGTGCTTGCAACTAGTTTCTGTTAATGAGAGTAGTACCAGTTACTAGCATCTTGAGCTAGTCACTTACTATTTCGCTAGGTGGATTGCATTGGACTTTTGGCTTTATTTTGCTGATTCCGGCAAGCTAGGCTTTCTAACAGACCGTGTTGCGCACTGTCATCCCTTGCTTCACTCCGCTTGGGAGTTTAACATCCCCTCCGGCTTCCGCCTTTGGTAAGCCTGTTTGGAATCGCCAAAGGCTTAGCAGGCTAGGATAGTAAATGGGGATGGCGGAAACAGAATGTCGGCAAAGAGGCTCCGCTTTATTACATGCCAACAACATCCAGGCCACCAAAGAAGTACATGCAAGGCTATGTCGCGAAGAAGAGGCTGTCGAAGGATCTGTCAATGAAATAGCATTCGATGAACGGATTGCTACTGCTGTAGAGTGACGCAGGCACATCAAAACAAATTTGCTTCAAGGGTTGTGTTTCTCATTTGGTTTGTTTGCAAGAATAATGAAATTGGTTCCTGCTTATGCATACTTCGCCTGAAGTTGTTGATATGGCAGTTAGCTTGACTGCATAATGCAGCTCACATTTTTTCTGCCAGTCTAAAATATCTTGCTGAACTTGACAACAACTTTTTTATATGCAGGCACCCTCACCTACCGTCAAAACTTGGAAGAAGCCAAGGCAACTAAGAAGGACATAGAAAAAGCAGGCATGTCGTGGCTCCGTCATGCTGCTGAGCGGGCAGCGGCTGAAAAAAAGTCCATGGGAAGGAAGGACGCCACACCATTTACACTAGACTAAGAAATCACTTCAACAGGGCAGCCCTTTGAAAGGAACTATGCAAGTCTGTTTCTTAACGTTTTGCACTACAATTTGCAACAGCGGTGCCCGCAGGGAGTGTGGTAATGTATCTGGAGAGCTACATTTTCAAAGAAACAACTTAATTGAGTAAAAGTTTAAAAGTCTGAATGCTTTTCTCTACATATGGTGTTTGTTTGCTTATGGCACACATCTGATTGTTGCAACAGCTGATAAACTGCAGCAGCAGTTCACAAATAAAATACTCGTATAGCATTTTTGGTTTGGAAAGACCGTCTGCTTTGACCGAGGGGGCCGTATCTCGGCTGTTTCACCAGCCAGACTTGTGATGTTAGGCGAATGCTGCAGATAAGGAGAAGACATTCCTATTTTTTAACTTTCTTCTCAGGTAAAGCCATTCATTGAAATTTGGATGGAAAATTTCACCACCTACGGATACCAGTGTCGTAAATTGTAGCACAGTACATTAAGACAACAATTTATACAGTTCCTTTGAAGTGCCCTGTATGTAAGATGTGCACCAATTTTTTTTTGGCAATTCACTATCGATTCAACATTCTAACAGCCATTCTGGCATTTCAGTTTCGTGATACTTTATACAAGATGTATTTGTCACACTTGCTTACACTACTCTTTTCAATGCAGTTCATGCTTTTTTCCTGTATTAAGCAAGTTCAGAGTCACTGATGTCACTTGCTTTTAGTATAAATTTAGCTATTCAGTGCTCGACTGCTATTGTAGACTTTGTGCATTATTTAATGTAGATGTCTGGTCTTGCTGACCTTGGTCGCATGGCAATATTTTTTCTAGATTTTGCCAAAGTAATTCGTTTGCACGATTTGCATACAATCATTATACACTGTTGGCACCTAAGCTGAAAGGGGGTTAGTCATTTTTACTGGCATTACTGTCCTGCAACTTGCATTTTTAGTACTTGGCATGTACTGCTTCTATGCCTTGCCATAACTGTATTTCAGTTTTAGATAATGTGTTATTTTTTTATAATTAACAACTCTAGTGCAATACTGTGATAACATAATCTATGTTAAATTTCTGCACTTCAAAGGAAATGTTTGAGTGATATGCAGAAGTAAGCATTCTAGTGAAATACTGTGATAATATGAGGGGGCATCAAAACGTTTCTGAACTGGCATCACTGAACAAAAACAAAACAAGTACAGCAGTGTGACACCAGCTGACACTTCCTGACAAGCTTGCAGTCTGTGCCGAAATTTACTGTGCAGGGCGAGAGTATCTCTAGCTGTGCTTGTTTGTTCAGAAGGGATTTTGCAACTTTCTCATCGTGAAACACAAACGAAAAACTCGAACCACGTCCATACATCATTTTCTGTGAAAATCGAGAAGAACACATTAGAAACTCAGAAACTCCGTCAGCAAGCATTCGGTGACTGATCTAGGTTACACAAATCTGTGAGTGGCATGGACATTTTAAGTGAGGCTGAGAATCGCTTGAAAACAATGAATCAAGAGGATGCCCTCCAACAAACCTAACATTTAAAAATGCAGAAAAAATCCTCGTTAATTCAGTAACACTTTCTGAGAACGATTTCGGACATTGCTGAACAACTCAACATTATTTATGGTTCAGCAATATCCGAAATGCGCTTCCGACGGTCTTCGTGAAATAACACATAGATTTTTTTTCGGCATTCTGAAATGTTATGTTTCTCGGAGGGCATTCTCTTCATCGTCTCCAAGGAATTCTTGGCCTCGCCTAAAATGTCCATGCCACTCACTTATACATGTTTTTACTAAATCGTGGTCACCAAATGCTTGGTGAGGAGTGTGTGGTATTTTGACATGTTCTTCCCAATTCTCACAGGAAATTTGATGTAAACGTGCAGTTTGAGCCTTTTATTTGCCTTATGCGGTCAGAAAGTTGTGAAATACCTTTTAAGCAAACAAGCACAGCTCGGAATTCATTTTGTCACCACATAGTGACTGGCAAGCCTGCTAGGAAGGGTCAGGTGTGTCGCACTGTGGTGCTGCATTTTCTTTTTGTTCAGTGGTGGCTGTTCAGATACTTATTGATGCCACCTCATATGTTATTTCTCTGTGTTTGCTTTTTACATTGAAATAATAAAGCTTTATTTGTTTCGAGACTTGTGTGGTCTTATCCCACTGTAGTGTAATTTAGTACACCAGTATGAAAATATACAATGTCCTATATATGTCCTAATAAAATCCAGGAAACATCCTTTCCTGGACATCCTGAGGACGTCCTTTGGTGTTTCACTTCGGATGTCTTCTGGACATTACTCGGACATCCGCAGGACGTCCCTAATGTCCCAGTTAGGACATCCTTTGGATGTCCAGCGGATGTCTGTGTGTTGTGTGGGTTGACGTCGCGTCTCTTCGAAGGGAATGTCGTCGAAGTGCTCGCGTCGCCCAGCGGTCGTAGGGGGCTTTTTGGCGTCCGCATCGGCGTTTTCGAATTGTCGGCGCAGTTCCTTGACGTCGCATCTCTTCGAAGGGAATGTCGTCGAAGTGCTCGCGTCGCCCAGTGGTCGTAGGGGACTTTTTGCCGTCCGCATCGGCGTTTTCGGCTTGGCAGCGCAGTTCCTTGACGTCGCGTCTCTTCGAAGGGAATGTCGTCGAAGTGCTCGCGTCGCCCAGCGGTCGTAGGGGGCTTTTTGGCGTCCGCATCGGCGTTTTCGGCTTGTTGGCGCAGTTTCTTGACGTCGCGTCTCTTCGAAGGGAATGTCGTCGAAGTGCTCGCGTCACCCAGCGGTCGTAGGGGCTTTTTGGCGTCCGCATCGGCGTTTTCGGCTTGGCGGCGCAGTTCCTTGACGTCGCGTCTCTTCGAAGGGAATGTCGTCGAAGTGCTCGCGTCGCCCAGCGGTCGTAGGTGTCTTTTTGGCGTCCGCATCGGCGTTTTCGGCTTGTCGGCGCAGTTCCTTGGCGTCGCGTCTCTTCGAAGGGAGTGTCGTCGAAGTGCTCGCGTCACCCAGCGGTCGTAGGGGGCTTTTTGGCGTCCGCATCGGCGTTTTCGGCTTGTTGGCGCAGTTTCTTGACGTCGCGTCTCTTCGAAGGGAATGTCGTTGAAGTGCTCGCGTCACCCAGCGGTCGTAGGGGCTTTTTGGCGTCCGCATCGGCGTTTTCGGCTTGGCGGCGCAGTTCCTTGACGTCGCGTCTCTTCGAAGGGAATGTCGTCGAAGTGCTCGCGTCGCCCAGCGGTCGTAGGTGTCTTTTTGGCGTCCGCATCGGCGTTTTCGGCTTGTCGGCGCAGTTCCTTGGCGTCGCGTCTCTTCGAAGGGAGTGTCGTCGAAGTGCTCGCGTCGCCCAGCGGTCGTAGGGGGCTTTTTGGCGTCCGCATCGGCGTTTTCGGCTTGTTGGCGCAGTTTCTTGACGTCGCGTCTCTTCGAAGGGAATGTCGTCGAAGTGCTCGCGTCACCCAGCGGTCGTAGGGGCTTTTTGGCGTCCGCATCGGCGTTTTCGGCTTGGCGGCGCAGTTCCTTGACGTCGCGTCTCTTCGAAGGGAATGTCGTCGAAGTGCTCGCGTCGCCCAGCGGTCGTAGGTGTCTTTTTGGCGTCCGCATCGGCGTTTTCGGCTTGTCGGCGCAGTTCCTTGGCGTCGCGTCTCTTCGAAGGGAGTGTCGTCGAAGTGCTCGCGTCGCCCAGCGGTCGTAGGGGGCATATTGGCGTCCACATCGGCGTTTTAGGCTTGTCGGAGCAGTTCCTTGACGTCGCGTCTCTTCGAAGGGAATGTCGTCGAAGTGCTCGCGTCACCCAGCGGTCGTAGGGGGCTTTTTGGCGTCCGCATCGGCGTTTTCGGCTTGTTTTGAGCAGTTCCTTGCCGTCGCGTCTCTTCGAAGGGAATGTCGTCGAAGTGCTTGCGTCACCCAGCGGTCGTAGGGGGCTTTTTGGCGTCCGCATTGGCGTTTTCGGCTTGTCGGAGCAGTTCCTTGACGTCGCGTCTCTTCGAAGGGAATGTCGTCGAAGTGCTCGCGTCACCCAGCGGTCGTAGGGGGCTTATTGGCGTCCGCATCGGCGTTTTCGGCTTGTCGGAGCAGTTTCTTGACGTCGCGTCTCATCGAAGGGAATGTCGTCAAAGTGCTCGCGTCCCCCAGCGGTCGTAGGGGGCTTTTTGGCGTCCGCATCGGCGTTTTCGGCTTGTCGGAGCAGTTCCTTGACGTCGCGTCTCTTCGAAGGGAATGTCGTCGAAGTGCTCGCGTCACCCAGCGGTCGTAGGGGGCTTTTTGGCGTCCGCATCGGCGTTTCCGGCTTGTTGGCGCAGTTCCTTAACGTCGCGTCTCTTCGAAGGTAATGTCGTCGAAGTGCTCGCGTCACCCAGCGGTCGTAGGGGGCTTTTTGCCGTCCGCATCGGCGTTTTCGGCTTGTCGGCGCAGTTCCTTGACGTCGCGTCTCTTCGAAGGGAATGTCGTCGAAGTGCTCGCGTCACCCAGCGGTCGTAGGGGGCTTATTCGCGTCCGCATCGGCGTTTTCGGCTTGTCGGCGCAGTTCCTTGACGTCGCGTCTCTTCGAAGGGAATGTCGTCGAAGTGCTCGCGTCGCCCAGTGGTCGTAGGGGGCTTATTAGCGTCCGCATCGGCGTTTTCGGCTTGTCGCCGCAGTTCCTTGACGTCGCGTCTCTTCGAAGGGAATGTCGTCGAAGTGCTCGCGTCGCCCAGCGGTCGTAGGGGGCTTATTGGCGTCCGCATCGGCGTTTTCGGCTTGTCGGAGCAGTTCCTTGACGTCGCGTCTCTTCGAAGGGAATGTCGTCGAAGTTCTCGCGTCACCCAGCGGTCGTAGGGGCTTTTTGCCGTCCGCATCGGCGTTTTCGGCTTGGCAGCGCAGTTCCTTGACGTCGCGTCTCTTCGAAGGGAATGTCGTCGAAGTGCTCGCGTCGCCCAGCGGTCGTAGGGGGCTTTTTGGCGTCCGCATCGGCGTTTTCGGCTTGTCGGCGCAGTTCCTTGACGTCGCGTCTCTTCGAAGGGAGTGTCGTCGAAGTGCTCGCGTCGC